TATATATATACCCATCTACCCATTTATATTGCTATATATATATATATATATCAAAAATTTCTTGTATCAATTTAATTTTTACACACTCATTTTAGGAGAAATCCTCTGGTGTTATGTAGTGCGACTGCAGATAGTTAAAGCGCTAATACCGTAGACAGCTTTATTTACAAAGTTTGTGTACCCCCTAATGTGTCTTGCATGACCTAAAGTAACTACTATTTATGATTTTCTGGTGGTCCTGTATACTGGGTGAAAGTAGTGTGTTTGAATGGTAAGCAGGTGGTGGGATACTAAGCAGCTTTATATGTTTACTATTTTTGCACAATTTGACTGTACTTTTTAAAGTATGCTTACCTCTTCTGTTCCACAGAACAATGATAATGAGACGGCTCTACACTGTGCAGCCCAGTATGGGCACACTGAAGTGGTTCGTGTTTTGTTGGAAGAGCTGACAGACCCCACAATGCGCAACAACAAGATGGAAACTCCGCTTGATTTAGCAGCTTTGTATGGACGCTTAGAAGTAGTGAAACTTCTTCTTAATGCACATCCTAACTTGCTGAGCTGCCACACACGCAAGCACACACCTCTCCATCTGGCTGCTCGCAATGGACATCGAGCAGTTGTCCGTGTTTTGCTGGATGCTGCTATGGACATCAATTACCAGGTATAACTACATAAATATAAAATGTAATATACCACAAACATTTAATTGTTTCTTTAATGTTGTAGCAACTATTCTTGCATTCAGTTGATTTTAAGAAATCTATACATTTAACAATTGCAGTTAAAAAATACTTTATAGATTTGAAGGTGTTTATATTAGTAGCTGTGTGCAGGGAGGTTGTGACGCAGATTAGGCTATTTATGATATATATCAGTATGCTGAACAAAAAAACACTTCATAATTCCAATTGCTAACAAACAATTGGATGTCAAGTTTCAAAGGTGTATATATAATTATTGTAAATCAGTTGTCCATTGTGCAGCCTAGTTCTTGGGGACATACAGATCTTTCAAATTTAACCTTAAAGTGTATCTAAACCCAGGAACAACATTTTACCTGGCAGCTTATCATTCTTTACATGTGGTGGCTGTATTAGTTTTCTTTTTTCTTTTTGTTCACCTGATGATCCTTCCAGTAACACACTTCCTGTCTCGCTCACTGTACTTTATCTATGGATAAGCAGCATTGTCCCCCCTAGGCGGCTTGTTTCTCATTTTGTACTACAGAACACATCCCTTTCCCCTCATCTCCATTATATGGGGTGATGTGTTTTGTACTCCTTCCAGATAAACGAGCACTGGAGAAGACTGTGACTTTTTATATCCTTCTCCATATGTATAAGCACAAAAGTCTGTTCCTGAGCCAAGTATTTGTCTTAATGTGACAGCTGAGCAATATTGGTGCCTGAGTGCAGTTGGTTTGTGCTGCCCTATCCCTTTTGTGACTGGAGATCATTGAAGGTTTGTAGCCTATGGCAAATTTTGCAGGGTTTTACTTATGCCCCCATCCATGGGGTTTTAGTCTAGTTCCCTGGAACAGTTAGTCCCAGCTTCTTTAAAGGAGAACTATGGGGTCAGTGTTTTTCCCCATAGTTCTCCTTAGGGTAACGGGAGGACACAAACTAGCGTCCTCCCGTCACCCTAAGCTCAGTATACCGCGAGCTGTATGTCGCGGTATACTGAGACGCCGCACCTGGAGCGGATCCCGACTTAGATGACGGGATCCGCCCAGCTGCGTGAGTGACAGCTGGCTCTGCCTATCTAGAGGCAGAGCCAGCTGTACCCTCCCCCGTCCGTTCCGCCAGTCAGCGCTGGCAGATCGGAGTGGGGAGAGGGGAATCCAGCCCCTCCCCCTGTCACGGCAAAGAGCCGTGACAGGATCGAGAGGTGAGGGAACCCGGTATGTTTTCCCTCACCTCCCGATCTACTGAGCCGACCTGTGACGGTCTCATTGTCACAGGTCGGCTTAGAACTATGACGTGAGTGGAAATCACTCATGTCATAGTTCTCCTTTAAGAAATCTCATAATGAGTGGGTCCCCTGACCTCGACTACATTGGACATCACTTAGGTGTTGTACGTCACTCCTTGGAAGGCTCCTACACTGAACTTCAGGAGAGTACTACTCTCAACCACACGGTCTCACTTAGGCTGGGTTCACACCTGGGCGTATTTTTTCTGCTCGTTTTGCAGTTCGTTTTTTTTTCCGCTTTTTTTTAGCACGTTTTTACGTTCAGTGAAACGCATGTTTCACTAGCGGTATGAAGTATGATTTTTTTTTTTTCTCTATCTAAAATTATTTTTTTCACTTTCAAAACTCCCGCCGGCTCCGCCCCCCTGCGACGCGGCCACTCGCAAAGGGACGGAAGTCGGCAGCCGCCGGAGGACACATCGGGGCTCGCGGACAAGGTAAGTCCTACGCTGTATTCCCGAGTGTGGCTCGGGGTTACCGCTTTGTTAACCCCGAGCCACACTCTGGAATACCAATGGAAACGCGCGGAAAAATGCCCCAATGAAGCTCCTGTACTTGTTTGGGCGTAGGGCGTTTTTCAGCGCTTTTCCATGGGCTGAAATACGCCCAGGTGGGAACCATGCCCATAGGGAAGTATGGGTTTTCACTGTTTGAGTGTTTTACAGCGCTGTAAAACACCCAGGTGTGAAACTGGCCTTAGGGATGTGCTTTTCTATTCCCTTCACCAGAGGGAGAGGTTTGCACATGTGGGTGTGCCTTATTTCCTTTATAGCAGGAAGACCCAGTCACTGGAGAACCCTTTGTTCCGAAAGCTCAGCAGACAACACATGCTGAGATCCTGTTGCAGGTGCTCCCTATTTGGTGATAGAATATGTCTGGAGGCCTTCATGGGACCTGCTCTTTGGAAGTTAGTTTTTTCTTCCATGGCTGTTTCTTCAGATCCCTTCCTTCTCAGGTCATTGTTCTTAGTTGTTGGGCTAACATTCCTGCCCTTTACTCCACAGCTGTGGAAGCTTCACTGGGCCTGGGTAAATCAAATGACTCTTAAAACCATGTTCTGATTCAGGTAAGGCAGGTCATGCAGAGTTTTCTTAGTTAGGCCTCATACCGTAGACACCTTCAAGTGTTTTAGTGGATAGGTCTTCCAGATTCTTTACTTCTGCTCTTTGTGTACCAGTCTGGAGTTATAATGCCTCTCTACCTCCCTTAGCTAATCAGACTGTCTTCAGGGTTGCTACCAGTCTTAAGGGTCTTTTTGGCTGTCCTTTGAGATACTGCACCATGAGACTTTTCTTTTTTTTTTCTATATCTCGTGCAAGACTGGTTGCATGGCATAGGTAACCTCATTCTTCTCCCTCCTTTTCTGATTCCAAAGGTTTTGAAGTGTAAGACTTGGGCCTTTAGTTTGTAACCGGTTGGTCTCCTCTTTTGTCCACTTTTCCTTCTAAGGACCTGTTCCTCTGGTGTTTTGATCCAGTGTACTTTGTTTTGGTTGACAATGTTATGTTGCTGGTTTATTCTTACTTGTCAGTCAGTTGCTTTTCTCCACCCCTTTGAGCCCGCACCAGCAGGAAGCTTGGCCAGGAGGTAGCACAATTCCATAGGTGGAGAGGGCTATGGCCTGCAAGGAAGGAGGGGGCTATGGCCTGCAAGGAAGGAGGGGGCTGTGCAAGGGAATTTGCTCTTAGGAGTAGCCCAATTTCTAACAAGTAGAAAAGTACATTTTAATTCATTCAAAAATAAATGAATGACAGGAAAACACTGCAAGTAAACATTTATATTTTTAATTTGCTTTACTATACAACTGTACTCGGATTTCTGCAAGCCTTTGATAACTGTTTGTTTTAATTGAGTGTGCATTTTTAAATGTTGTTGTGCACACTATTAGGCTATTGTATGTTGCAACAGATTTTGGAAACAAACCCTTTCTACTTGGTAAAAGTACATTGATTTTGATGTTATACCATAAAACATAATTATAGCCCGGCTGTAGACATATTATATGTCAACATAGACAGATGTTGACATATTCCTAACAAGCAGAGCTAAAATGTAAAGCAAGCTCTCGCAGAGGTTTGTAGCTGCAGACACTGTGGAGCAATGAATCCTCATCCCTAAAGTGGACAACACAATTACACTTTCCTGCATTGTATTCCCTCCCCCTGCACAATCTAAAAAAGCTGACTTTCTTTGGGGTGAAAATGATATATGTTCCTGTTGCTGCAGCCTTCTAGGATATCTGACAGATATCCCAGGAGTCATCGGCTTTCAGGGCAGCATTGGTGGAGCAATGACCTGGTGCACAGCCAGCTGCAAAAACCGGGAAGAGACAGCCAGTTCTCAATAACATAGGAGAAGACGGCAGTGGCGAATAAACCGGTGTTCAGCGGGTCACAACATGACGACGCTGGAATCGTTGGGTGTGTTAGTCTGTTTATTGAGGATAACCAAATAAAAAAGGTAAGGGGGGAGTGGGGGGGTCTTTAATTTATGTAAATGTGCAGCAGAAGCACTGAACATGTTGCCTAAAGCTTGGGCTACACTGGCAATTTGAATCCCTTGCTACAAAGAGCTTTAATTGTTTACTGGTAGTTACCTGCGTAGGCTAGTGCTACATAGTGAATTTTTAGTAGCTTATCCTACTATAAAAATTGTTAGTTATTGAATTGCTAGTTGTAGCAAATGACAGCTAAACAAGTGAGACAATTATCTCCCTATGGAGCAGGCTACAAAAGTAGCCAATATGCATAGGAACAGCAATGTGCAGCTTGCTTTGTAGGGTGCCATTTGTTTAGCGATCATTTGCTATAGCTAGCGATTTAAGGCTACATTCACATTGCCACTTGCGTTTTTGTGCTCTATGTGCAGAGATAAATCTGTCAGGCTTGATGCGTTAAGTGACGTGCGTTTTATGTGTAAGCATTTGGATGTGTCTGGTACCAAATCCTAGTATCAAATCGCGATCACATGCGTTTTGCTGCGTTAAGAAGTTAATATTCCTAGATGCATCTTGACTTCTATTTTTTTCTAAACGCAGAAAACTGACTGCAGCATCTAAACACAATGTGTAAATAGATCCATTGAAAATCTTTAGATGCTAATAATTCGATATCTCTTTCTAGCAAGACATTAAAATTGCCCATTTAGCCTAAGCCAGCGATCCCTGCTAAGGTGAAAGAGATGAGCCTTGCAAACTTCTTATCTCTGTTGTAAACACAGAGTTAGTGCTGGAAGGGGGGAGCAGAGTGAGCTGTCAAGAAAACCAACTAGACTACAGTCCTTCTGCTTTTGACATTTTAGGCTGAATTGCTCCACAGTGCCTGCAATTACAGAGGTCACTAAGGAATTGTTTTAATGCTCATTTACCGTTAAGCAGCATATAAATACTTAAATCTCCATAGCCTGGCCACATTAAGCCCTGACATGGAGTATTGAAGCAAAGAGGAGCAGTATGGAAGTCAGGCTACTGGCTTTTTCAGGAGAGGGCACTAATGGCAACCACATGTTTTTTTCATTACGGGTTTACTTTTTTTTTCTTTCCGTTCAATAAATCTTTATTAAGATAAGTGCAAACAATAGACATTAGGTATTATAGAACGGCAATAACAGTATGCACATTAAAATATAAACCAAGTAAAAATAGAGGGCAGAGCAAATGAAACCGCATGCAAGCAATAATTATGAGAAATTACACATCGTCTAATGAAAGACCAGAGGGCCCAGAAAACAAGCCAGAGGTGTTTGCCCCTCATAATTCCAAACCCTAGGAAAAGATGAAAGAAAGGAAAGACAGAGGGAGCAATTTTAAGGAAGTGAGCAAGAGCAAACGAAGAGGTGAGACGAGCGGAGAAAAAGAGGAGTAGGAGAGGGGTAGGTTAAGGAGGAGGAGGGAAAGGAAGGGGAAAAGGAATGTGAGCGACAATGGCAAAAAACTAAGAGTTGATGAGCAAAAAAGGGAGACTTCAGATTGTCAGGGAGTCCATGTGGAAGGTAAGACTCAACCCAGGGCTCCCACAATTTCTAAAACTTCTACAGCTCCCACAATTTCTAAAACAGAGTCCTGTTGAATGGCTATAAGTTTTTCAAGGAACATAACTCACGATACTCTGACCTCAACAAAAGGTATGGCTGAGGACCTCCAAGCTCTCCCTATGACCTGTTTAGACTCCGTAAGGATAAAGGTGATCAGCCTAAATTGGCGAATAGTGCACACTTGTGGTTTTTTACGTAATAAGGCTTCCAGTGGGTCTTTACGAAACGTCTTGGCCGTAACAGTATACAACAACTGATTAGACTCTACACCAGAATCTTTTGAGTTTAGGACAAGTCCACCAGATGTGAATGAGGGAACCCTCCACCCGGCAATATGGCCCGGGAGATTCGGAGAGGCACAAAGTACCACCTAAAGAGCACCTTGTAGTTAGCTTCCTCAGCTTGTACATTCATTCAGAGATTGTGGACCAAATTTGAGCCCAAGTGTCTTTAGTGACGGAGCAATCCAGTTCTTGTTCACATTTGGACATGTATGAGGGAAGAGGTGTCTAATTTATCTAATAGAAGGTCAGATTAGAAATGGTTCCAAATCCGCAATTGCCCTCATGCAGAAGCTTTTCAAAGGGAGTAAGGGGAGGTATCGACTGTAGCGAGCCCATTAGTGTAAGCAAGAAATGTTTTATTTGTACCAATTGAAAAACATCTCTAGACGTCAGCTTATGTTTGGCTTGTAGAGTAGGAAACGGTAGGATGCCCTTATCTGAGCAAAAGTGTTTGACCAGGTTCAGAGAACGAGAGTGCCAGTGCTTGAAAGCGAGAGGGTTAAGGTAACCGGGTAAAAATAGCGCGTTAACTAGGATTGACATCAGGTGAAAGTGAGGCGACACGCAACCCAAAGAGCGTTTCAGACTATCCCAGATCCTCAGAGTATGTCTAGTAATGGGACTAGTCACTACCCTCCAAAGTTTAGGGGGCAACCATGGGAGGTTAAGCAATATTGGAACACATAAGCAGGTTTCTAAAGAGACCAATAGGGGCACCTCAACCTCCCCAAATCATTGCACCAAGGGAGCCAACAGGGCAGCTTGACGGTATTTATGAAACAAGGGGAAGCCCAGACCCTGCCCCCTCCCCCCCATCAGTATGATACAATATAGGACCAAGTGAGACACCCTTGGGACGGAACCACAGGTTCCCTTTTGATTCTAGGTGCACAGTTTTTAGCTGCTCCATGGATTTGCTTATTACTTCATTTGATTTTGGTGATGCTTATGAACCTTGCTTCCACAGACAGAAAAAGGAAGTGCGTTACATGAAGCTGCCTTATTCGGAAAGACTGATGTGGTACAGATGCTCCTAGATGCAGGTACAACATACAAATTCAATTACTAATATATATATATATATATATATA